GCGTCCCTGATAATATTTCCGCCCAATTAAGGGCAGTATATTGTTGCTCGTATAACTTCTGTACCGTTGCATCGGTGTTCAGGTGTGCTGCTGCAACATTACGCTGGTGGAAGATATCCCAAATGACTGGGTACTCCTGTGCAGCCGACATTAGGGCATCCATATTCGATTTATTGTGGTCGGACACAATGGCCATTCGATTTTTGTCCAGGCCCAGCTTGGAGGTTTGCTTCAAAACGATCGTAAGAGCCGATTTTATTTTATCCTTGCCAAGCTTGGATCTACGGTTCGCAGCTATATCAACATATACTGTTACCTGTTGAAATATATATAATATATATATATATATATATATATAAGCGAAATAATTCAACGACGCGAAAGCAGAGGCAAAGGCTAGCCTTAAAGAGAATGGAAGAAATACCCCGCGCGCCCGCCGCAACATCAGCTTTTCAAAACAAAACGAAAAAATATTTTATGAACGGGCTTCGTCAATGCCTCGACTCGACGCGGGTCGGGTCGACAGAACACACCAAGAAAATATGAAGTCTTACGACGGGAATAGGTCCAGGGCCGGATTAGTAGTTGCCTAGGGCCCTCGTAGAAATAACAGAACAATTTTGTTGAAAAACAAAACTCCAAGTAATGAATAAAAAATAAAATAGCCACTGAGAAAAATACAAAATAAAGGAGGGCCCCAGATTGATGGTTGCCCAGGGCCCGGTTGAGGGTTGATCCGGCCCTGAATAGGTCGCTACATCACATCAGGACTCAAAACAAAACGAAAAACCAATTCAAGCGGCCAAAAATTGTAGAGCCCACACACAAGCATAGTATGTGTGAATACATGGCACACACACCCCTGCAGTACCAAAATTCATTTGTCACGAGTGATTCATTCGGTGAATCACTCGTGACAAGTCCCTGTCCTGTAGTGACTCCCTAGTGAAACTCCATATGAATTTTGTATGGGATGTCCGCCAATTCACCAGTGACACCTTCATATGACATTTTCACCGAATTCACCCTTGATTTCATGAAGAAGTAAGAGGGAGAGGGAAATCTATGGATATCTGCATCTCTTTCTTACACATCCGTTTCGGTTAGCAGCAGTGAAGCTTGGAAAAATTCTCTGCTGACGTCGACGTCGTCAACGGCAGCGAAGTCGACGTCGACAAATTTTTAATATGAATTTTTTCATGAGGTGACTGCCTGAACTGCAGGGACTTTTACGTAACCTGTAAACGAAACTCAAAACAAACTCAAAACGTTTTCGGAAAATAAGAATTGATACAAAATTTTGTCGTGTCTGTTTACACACATACATTTGCAATTCTCAGCTTGCTTTCGCTTCCCGACATGAGTCATACATGCCGAACGGCTCAGCTCCCGACCCGAATGGCCTGGCTCCCGACCCGAGTGTCTCAGCCACACAGAGCCGAAGCGCCGGGAGCCGGGACAGAACACTCAGCTTGCGCCCCTTTTGTTGTTTGAACTGGCACATCTATATACTGTATGGTTAGTGCTTTAACGATACAGAAAGCCGATTAGCCGATATGTCTGAAATCGATATGTCTGAAATCGATTTCTCTAAATATCTTCACTGTTTTTTCTACAGAAGCAACAGGTTTTAATAGTCGTATTGTTGTTGTGATTTTAAACCTAAACCGCCAACATGAACTTTAACAAATGTCATACTGTCAACGTAACAATAAACAAATATTACAATCGGGCCGATTCCGATGAGGAGGAGGGGGACAAGCAACAGGAACAGGACAAAAAACAGGATGATTCATCATCAGAGGCGAATGAACTCCATCACGAAGATGAACACGAACGGGACCAGGAACAGGAGCAGGAAGATGAACAAGCTGATGAACGGCACGGAGCATGGCCACCTGTATACATGGAGTCGGTGGAGCAGGACAACACCGCCCGGGATGTCTCCGATATTGAATCGCAGTCAACATCGTTGACGGTACCTACACCGTCGACGACACCGCCCTATCATCGTGGTCCAATCCTAGTTGAAATGCTTGCGGTGAAGCCACCCAATTTATAAATCTCTACTCCATCCTATGGAATGCTAATGAAAAGGACCGTGGCAAGCAAATATTGAACAGAGCAAATAAAAAAAAAAATTATTTAAATCTCATGCCAAGCTTATGTCAAAAATAATAGTGGAATATTTTGTAAAATATAGGCTCCTTATGAGCAAACGGAACGCCAGAGATATCAAAATATTATATCCGTTTGAAAATCAAAATTGGCAATATAAATTGTATCACAGATTCCGAGGAGGAAAGGAGTACAAGAAGCATATAAACGAGGAATGGACCAACTGCTGTATTACAGAACAGAACAGATAACTTCTGTAAATTTGATTCTGATCATTTCATTCTGTTCATTTCATTATTATTATTATTATTATTCATTTCAATGTTCATGTTTCATATTATATTATTCATATTCATATTATATTATAATATATTATAAACGATACGCGGTGTAAGATGTTTTCAGTATGGATGGGTTATTGGGATCGGCAACAGCTTTGGCCAGTGATTGAGTGATTGATTATGACTAAATGGGCCTCACCTTTTCCAAAATTAATTGATCTGGTGCTATTTCCCTGTCCGTCTGCCGGTGCAATGGAAGGATCGAAGAGCCCAACATTCTCTTGCGCTGGTGCTGGCACTGTCGCTGTCGCTCTCGCTGACGCTGCTTCTCCAGCAGGTGTGCAATGATGTAGTTATTTTGCATTAAAAGAACTGCACATAGTTTTTTTCTTCTTTCTATTTGCTGCTAGGGTTGGGAAGTCAACGAAGTTTCAAAAACTGTACGACAGTGAGCTTCGAAATTTGAATATTATTATGGAGCGCCATTTCGCCATTTCATCGGATCCCTTAAAACTCTATACAGTGCACAGCAGAAGATTGGAGCACCTAGGCAAGGCGCTGATCCCAAATGTGTACGAAATTATGATGTACGCTATAAAGCTTCTGAAGGACCCAATATATTATATAGCCCGTATGGTTGGGCTTATGCTTACCACCCCAAAAACATTTAGCAATAACGCGTAATAAACAAAACAAATTGTGTTAAATTTGTTTCCAATTTTTCAATTTATATAAAACGGCATGCAAGTGTACAGTTAGAAATTAGTAGAATACAAAAAGTGCCAGCCAGTGACCAGAACAACGATGGATATACAGCAGAGGCCGGCCGCGTCGTATGCACTGTGCATAGGTAAAAATTTCGGGCAGCGCAGACGGCACACGTACAGCGTAAAGATTTCGTGTGGTTTCGTTATTCTGCGCTGCTGACGTAGCGGCAGAGAACATGCTATGCACAAACGGCTTCATATTCTGTTCGCTTGCCTCAGCGGCAGAGAGGCATTCGTGTGCCCTATGCACAATTGCTCGGCTTTCGCAGCGGCAGAGAAATAAGTAACGTATTTGACTTGTCTTGGCACACAAACGGGCAAAAAAAATGTGTGAGTCTGTGTGCCGACCCCTCTTATAACGCTAACAGATTTGCAAAGCGGTTGCTATCCATAATCACTAACCATACAGTATATAGATGTGCCAGTTCATACAACGAAAGGGGCGCAGTTGAGTTTGCAGCGAACGTTCTCAGATCTTCGGCTTTGGGAATGGCCGCGTTCGGCTCATGACGTCACACGAGCCGACTGGCAGCAAGCATGCATGTGTTGTGATTGTATGCATAGAATAATTTTTAGCTGCCGAAACCGACTTTGTTCGAGATTTCAGTTTACGTAAACGTGTGTGTGCCATGTATTCACACATACTGGCTTGTGTGTGGGCTCTACAATTGTTGGCCGCTTGAATTGGTTTTTCGTTTTGTTTTGAGGGCTGATGTGATGTAGCGACCTATTCAGGGCCGGATCAACCCTCAACCGGGCCTTGGGCAACCATCAATCTGGGGCCCTCCTTTATTTTGTATTTTTCTCAGTGGCTATTATATTTTTTATTCATTATTTGGAGTTTTGTTTTTCAACAAAATTGTTCTGTTATTTCTAGGAGGGCCCTAGGCAACTGCTAATCCGGCCCTGGACCTATTCCCGTCGTAAGACTTCATATTTTCTTGGTGTGTTCTGTCGCTCGACTCGACGCGGGTCGGGTCGAGGCATTGACGATACCGAAAGCAGAGGCAAAGGCTAGCCTAAAAGAGAATGGAAGAAATACCCCGCCCGCAACAACAGCTTTTCAAAACAAAACGAAAAAATATTTTATGAACGCTTTGAATAGAATAAATGTACACATCTAGTAGAACATTTTCCAGATCTTTAGCGAATCTAAAATTCAAGATAATTTTAGTTTAGGAAATATGAGCAGAGATCCTTTATTTTTATATACATATTGTATTTATTTCCCACCCCCACCCACTCTGCCCATTCCTCATTTATGTTGCGGCAGGTCAGCTCAGTTCGCTACATCACATCAGCCCTCAAAACAAAACGAAAAACCAATTCAAGCGGCCAAAAATTGTAGAGCCCACACACAAGCACAGTATGTGTGAATACATGGCACACACACGTTTACGTAAACTGAAATCTCGAACAAGGTCGGTTTCGGCACCCTGCAGTACGGGTAAGCGATGTGTAAGCAACCACACATCGATGGCAACGTCATGCAGCTCGATGACATAAGCGATGACCTGCCATACGATGGGCTGTTTACTTTAACACAGGGATGTCCTAGGAGCATAATCGATGACATAGTAAGCGAGAATTAGCCGAAAGTCAGGCCTTAATAAGCGATGAATTTCCCTTAAAAAGTAAGGCCTTAATAAGCGATGAATTTCCCTTGAAAAGTAAGGCCCTAATAAGTGATGTATTTAAGTAAAAATTTTTGATATTTTGATGAAAAAGGCATGGGTAAATTCTGTTTTAAAATATTAAATTTCTTTTATTTATTGTTTTCTTATAAAAATGTATACATATTCACATTTTTGTGCTGTGTGTTCTTTTTTCCACAGAACCTTTTTAGTTTTTTGATTTGCTCATGATCGTAAGGTCGTCGTGGTCATTCAACTGTATCGCCTTTAAAATAAGATGGGTTAATTAAAATATTTCTCAATTTGTTAACAATGCTCTCAGTAGATCAGCAGTGCATTTGCGCCAAAAACAAAACACTCGCCAAGATATGTACCTGTTCGACTCAAGACTCGCAAGAACCAATCGGGTGGTTTTTTTCTGTTTTCGTTGTTGGAAATGAAAAATTTCGTCCAAAAATTTAATTTCGCACTATCACATTTTCTTCATTTTTTACAACGCACAATAGACTATTTTTAATTAAATGAAACACTGCACTTACCTGATAATAATTTTGCCCAAAATAAACAAAACCTGCGTCTCACTTTTCACCGCATAATTCTAACAACGTTGTCGATGCCGACGGCAAACCCGAATTCTGTTACGGCACGAGTCGTAACAGAAAGAAACAAAGAAAAAAAAAGAGTTGTCAGACCGACGCGTCGATCGCGACGTCGACGTCATATTCTACTCGTCTGTTGCAGCGGCAGAGAAAAAATCTTGAATGACGCGTAGTTGACATTTGTCATCGCTCACTTCTGGTACTGCAGGGCAGTTAAAAATTATTCTATGCATACAATCATATATTTTGGAGTGTACACGTACACAACGCATGCATGCTTGCTGCCAGTCGGCTCGTGTGACGTCATAAGCCGAACGCGGCCATTCCCAAAGCCGAAGATCGGGGAACGTACGCTGCAAACTTAGCTGCGCCCCTTTCGTTGTATGAACTGGCACATCTATATACTGTATGGTTAGTGACAATATGTAATTTATAAAAGAAACCTGTCTAAATTAGGGATATGTATATGTAGTGTGCAATTTCAAATAAATAAAACAAATAACATATTTTATTTTTATATTTTATTTAACTTGCAAGGCACTATGTTCCATTATTTAACATTATACTCTCCGACTGGAATAACGGTATATTTTGGTATATTTCTGAGGGTCACACTGCTTCAAACAGCTGTGGGAAGGAAAAATATTGATTTTTGAATCCATCTGCAACTCCATTTAAATCGTTAAATTAACCGAAAAAATGTCCTCTAACGGCGAGTGCTTTGTTGTTCTGCCTGCCAACTGTGTCTCGGGCACCCTGATTGTTGGCCGCAATGCGGAGGACGAGGCTTCTGTGGGCGTTACTTCAGAAGTATGCTACTATGATGTCAGCGAAGGAGGGGAGGGGAAGGTAAAACTTCAATTCTCGACACTCGAACTCGATCAATGACTCACTTCTTTTGCACTGTTAACAGACTGATGGCGGAGCTGCTGCTGAGTCGAGCAACGACGGCTTGCGTGTTATATTGCAAAAACCAAAGCCCGGTCTCTGGGGCGGAGATTTTGGGGCCAACGAACGCGGCTTGGCCGTAGGTCTCACCTGGACGGCTGGCGAGGAGGAAGATAGCGATAGTTTGCTGGGCACGGATATAGTGCGGTAGGTTTCAGTTCAAACTCCATTTAGAAACATTCTTCAACTAACATACTCTATATATATATATACTATATATACTATATACTCTATAGATTGACTTTGGCCGTGTCCAGTGATGTGGAGGCTGCCGTGGACCATATTGGCGGTTTGATTGCCAGCCACGGCCATGATAACTCCAAGCTCAACTTTATTGCGTGTGATTCCACGGCCGCCTGGCTCATCAGCTGTGCCGGCAAGGTCTGGGCCGCCGAGAAGGTGGAGTCTAGCTTCCTGCGGCTGCCCAGTGGCGGCCTGACCGTGACCACCGTCATTAACAAGTCCAGCGAGGGACTGGACGCAGAGGCCAGCTTTGCGGCGGCCCATGATGCCGAGGCGCAGACGCCAGCCGAGGATTGGTGTGGTCCTAAGCCATCGGGCGATGGCACCTACACTCAACACGATATGTTCGAGACGCTGCGCGCCGCCAGCAACGAGAGTAGCTCCAGAGCGGCCACTGTTTCTGTGCTGTCAGCCAAGGGGATTTGCTGCCATTGGTTTACTGCCACACCCAATGCGGCCGAATCTGTGTTCAAGCCATTCGTTTTCGCACCCAAACCCCGGATCTCGCCACTAACGGCCGTACAGCCAGAGGCTGAACTAACGCTCCTACACAAATTGCATTCGCAGCGCAAGCCAGCGGCCCTGGAGCACTTGCGTAGCCTGGAGCGCTCTTGTGTGGACGAGTTGAACAATTACTTTTCGCTGCAGGATCATGCGAGCGACGAGCTGGACGAACTGCTCAAGGACTGTGTCGAGGCGGAGGTCAAATTCTATCGCTAAACGATACTAAAAATATTGATATATTCCAGAAAAAAAAAAACAAAACAAAAAACTAGCTTGCAAGCGCCTTTATTGAGCCTTGGGATTTGACTTTGATGCATTTTTTGATAGGCTATACCCAAAACACATGATTTTCTTGTGCAATCTTTCGAACGATTTTCATTTCGTTTAGTTTTTATGCTTTTGCGTGATATTTAAATAGTTATTTATTTACGACTATCTACTTACTATGACTTGATTTTGAATATAGTATTATTATGTGACATTCCAGTTTTAGTTTCTTTTAAAACTTGCATTAAAATATATATATATACACACACATATATGGCTCTCAAAGTAAAAAAATAAAATCTGCATTTATAATAAAGAAAAAGGTGACTCCAGTCTCAATCAGTATCTGCGTGATTGACCAAGAACTCTAATAATAAATTTATCAATGATTAATCTGTATTGAAGATTGAATCATTATATGCTTGACACACCCTTTAAACAATTAAAACTTCGTCTACTTCATTGCAATATATTTACACATATTTGTTTAGACAGATTCTACAACCAAATTAGTTTTAAAAATTGTATTTTCATTGTGCAGTGCCTCTAGTTTGGTGATTTCAAACGCCTGATAGATCTCGCGAAAGTCCATTATATTGCGTGGATCGCTTTCCATCCAGAAGCGATCGAATTCAAAGAACAGGTAGCAATACAATTTATGGAAATCCTCTATGGTGTTAAAGTCCTGCTTATGCAGGGCCACCACATTATAGAAATGAGTCTTTGCCTGGCCGGTCTTCACCAAATTGTAGGCCATCGAAGTGAGATTGATGCCCACAATGGCATAAGTATAGCCGCGTGTGGGATGCATTGAGTGGAGCAGCACATGCTTGGCGGCATCGTTGTAGGCGCCGGCGAAATACAGCAAATTCTCCAGCCCGAGCATGCCCATGCCACGGAAATCGGTTTTCGGGTCATCGCCTTGGAATCCAATCTCCTGCCATTGTTTGCTAACGCGTCCGGTTAGCGGCGCCTCTGGCATCAGCAGTTGCCATAGCTCCAATAGCTGGTACTCGTGCTCGGGATTATCCGAATCGTATTTCTCTGCCCGCAACTGTTCCACCTGGTGCATGAGACGTCTGTAGCCCCAAATGGTGGACACACAGTTGCTAAATAGACGGGCGAAGTCCGGATGGACATTGTTTTTAATGCGTTTTGCCTGCATAACAACGCGCGCGGCACGGGAGGCTGCAAAATGAACAAATTGATTAGGCAGCTGAACAAGAGGGTGATGATGATGAGCTTACAGAACTCCAGAAGCTGCCTGTTGTCCGCATAGGGGGCTACTTCATCCAGGTCGTGAACCACGCGCTTGATTTCATACGATTTGGACAATGTTAGCGATCGTTCGACTAGTCGCACCCGCGGTGCACCCGCCCGGGCTCCATAGCAGATTCTCTGCAGCTCGGATAGCCGGGTAAAGGCGTGCAAAAACCACTTAATAAACGGCCTAATATAGCTAAATATAAACGGCAATATTCTGTCTAGTATAAACATATTGCTAATGAGATTTTTTCAGAACTACTGAAAATTGCCAGAGTTACGATTATGTTTGTTTGTCCATGGGTTTCCAAGGCAACGTGGCCACGATGCGATGGTTGTCTCTGCCTGCATATAGAATATTTAATAGAGTGTAACAACTCTCTTTTTTAACCTGTCTTTTGTTTAAACTTTGCAACAATAACAAAATCGACCTTAAAAGTTTGTAAACAGCTGATTTTTAGAGTGCAGTGCTGCAAAACGGTGAAAATAGCGCGTTTTTATAATTTTTCGCAAAATACCAAGAATTAAATAAAATACCGAATGCGGTATTTTTAACTTTTGGAAAATTTGCCCTCGGGCGGTCTGGCATCCCCAATGTTAAACACTGATGAAGTAAGTGGTTCGTGCACACCCTACTGCCCCCGTGCCTGTGGATCTGGAAAAATGAAACGAAGTAGCGCATCCACTAGCAACCACGTTACAATATGCAAGTTTTCGCGGGAAGAGAGTCCTCCTGGACGGATAACAGTGGACGATCAGATTGTCAGGTTGAACGAGCAAATGGATTTGGTACTGGAAAACCAAAAGCAAATCATAGAAACCTTGAGAAAGTTGACCAACAGCAGCAGTCAAGCGGAAGAGTCACAAGAGTCCCTGCTCGAAGAACAAGAGATGCAAAAATTTCCTCTAACTGAAATAGAGCAACTGGACATAGTCGAGGAGGCTCTCAATGACCCGGAATCTCGTTATGTAAGTGCCGTGCGTAAATAGATTTCAAAAGTTATTTTTAACTATGCGCATCATTCTCGTCCCTCTTTTTGCAGTTTCAACAAATGAAGGACATTATAAAGCCGGAGAACAAGCCGCGTCCTGGGGGCCTTAGAAGACACTTTCATCTGCTAATGACGGCGGACTTTTTTGTCCAATTCAATTACGATGGCATCCACAACAAGTATCCATTTAAGAAGTACAAAAACTTCAATAATGCCATATATCGTACGTTTCCTTGCCTGTACATATTTGGATTTCTATATATGGTGCGTTTCTTTTGCAGGCATCCAAAAGCAAGATGGATATACGGAAGATGATTATGTTACGGAAATAAGAGCCGTATTTCGTGCCTATAAGAATCGCAAAAGCAAAAACAACTCGAATGCAAGGAAAAAACTTAAGGAAGCGCAGGCCCACTTTGAGCCAGAAATCGATTTTGAAAAGATCCTGTGGCCAGATGAATAAGATATGTGGGGCTAGATTATACTAGGGCGATCAACTGTAGTTATCAATAGGTATAACTCACGTGCTGAATCGATTAGATTAAGTTATGCATGTGTTGGTATATTTTCGAGATTACCTTCCAGCCTGCGTTTCTTTTGTTGCCGTGTGAAGGCAGGTACATACATATGTAAACAGTGAAAAACCTGTATCGGCCTCAGTTATAAACCAGCAGTTGACGAAGCTGAAGCTATATTTAAAGTCAAGCGATAAGAGTCCGAAAATGCGTGCACAAAATGGAAGAATCTGGGGAACTTTGCACGATGGTGTGTAATTTTAGCAAAGACTTAAAATTTAAATAAACTAATCTTATACAGTTTTACGTTTAATTAATGATGTTTTAAGGCAAATTCAAAGTGCAAAGTGTAACCGCAGCTGATCTCGAAGAGGCGCTTAATGTAAGTAAATGGTCATAAAATTAAAATCTTTGGTTGGATGCTGTGGGTAGAAATTTCTTTGAAGACTAGCGCTGCTTCGGCAGCAGAAAATCCTCATTGGGCTGTCAGACTAATGTGGCGTCGGTGGTGTAATGGTCAGCATAGTTGCCTTCCAAGCAGTTGACCCGGGTTCGATTCCCGGCCGACGCAGCTCGCTTTTTTGCAAAATTTAAATATTTGTTTTATTTTTTATAGCTTCTAGATGCTTCATTTTTCATTAATGAATCAGTCTGCATTGCCTGTGGAATTAATTTACCCCAGAATGCTCAGTCCCGCCAAGAGTTACGAGAGCTGTGCCAAACAACTGCTCAGGATGGGGTTTCTCTTTTGGTTAAGGAGGTGGCTACGGGACAGACTGTGGCAGTGTCCTTTAATAAAATACAGGTGAGCTCGCTATGGACTGTCTCTTTGGATCTGTAAGTTTGAAATCCATCATTCTTCCAGTACACCCCACCGACTGGCGAGGATCATTTCTTTTTGAAATTCCGCAATGAGGTCGCGCAGAGTGATCAGGCCCGGCGTTTGATGGATTTTATGATTGAAGTCGACGAAAGGATCGATGTTTGTGCCATGTACAATATGAATTGCTTTTGTGAGCTTATGTTTTTGGCCACCTTACCCTCCCATGAGCGTCTGGGGCTTGGTCGGACTTTGGCCAAATATACTATAGAACTCACTAAAGAGCTGGCGGAGGGCAAGGGTGTGGAGGACATTGATGAAAAGCTGCGTTGCCTACGTCCAGCGGCGGTGACAGCCCTATGGACCTCCAGTTTCTCCCAAAAAGTTGGCCGTGCTGCAAATTTCAAGGTTCTTAATTCCGTTTCCTATGAGGATTTCCAATTCGAAGGCAAGCGTTTTAGCGAGCGCATCAGTCCCTTGCATAAGATCTGCGAACATGTCATATATAAGTTTTAAAAATGTTAAATAAATAAAGGTAGTTGTACAACGGCCGGGAATCGAACTCGGGTCAACTGCTTGGAAGGCAAAGAGATCTGTGCACATGTCATAAAAAATAAAAATATTTAGTTATAAGTTTAAAAAATGATAAATGACAAAAAAAAACAAAAAAAAATTAGTTGTGCGTCGGCCGGGAATCGAACCCGGGTCAACTGCTTGGAAGGCAACTATGCTGACCATTACACCACCGACGCCCCTTAAAGGTAATGGTAATGCATCCTAAATGACCATTTCGGTTCAAATAACAAGGTGCAATAGTCTGGCAACTCTAGCTACGAATATGTAAAATGTAAGCTAGATGGCGCTGCAGTTCGCAGACGTTAGCGGCGCCACCTGCCGCGAACTGGCCGTTTGATAGTCCATTTATCGATAGCTACCAGTTGTAGTTACGGTCATACTTGAAGTAGCCGTTGAGTTTGAATTTGAATTGTTTTTCTGTGCAACCGCTTCCCTCGCTATTCTTTAGAGAAACAGAAAACCGTAACATTATCATTTTACATATTTTAAGCATGTCGAAAATAATTAATTTGTGTAAAATAAGCTTTCGAGGACTTACAAAAATGGACTGTATAAACATTTTAGATGGACAATATCAGATTCTGCGCGTCACAACGGACTTGTATGATGAAACTGAAGGGGTAGGCATCCTCCATTCTCCGCACCTCCCGCTACGACATAAACTCGCGTTTTTGCAGTTGTTGGCGGATGTATCGGTGAACCAGGAATTGACATGCCTGGCAACCACACTGAAAGATTTGCCCATGGTCAAAGCAGAGTTGCGTGCACTAATAAGACATGTAATGTCATGTCGCATCTCCATTGCCAATATAATCTTTGTGAGTGTCTCCTTGAAGTTCCTTTGTACATGGATCTCATTTATTTTATATTCTTTCCTAACAGAATGAAGAAAATGATAGCATTTATAAATTGAAGGACTTTAAATGTCCCAAAATTATTAAATACAACATATTTTGGGAGGCTCTCGAAGGCAGCTACAACATCTACAAAGAGTGTACAAAATGCAGTTACAGATTGGGCTTGGAAATGGTCAAGAAGTGGCACATATCAGAGTGGGGACTCGTTGAGCTTCAAGCGATAAAGTTTTAATGTTGTCACCTTTCTATTGGTTATAATTCTCTGAAACATTTGAAAAGTTATAATCCATTTAGAGCTGTTCTCAACCCCTTTATTAAATTCCACTTCCATTGTTGATTTCAAATTTTTGCACTTTCGAATCGAAAAAAAACTTTTCAAATGAGATTAAAATCCACATTCATCCCATCCAATGGGTGCTCGTTGAGGCATGCACTCAAGAGGATTTCCCGAGTCCTTTTCCGTTCACTCTCCCTAATGCTCAGTGTCAACACACAGACAGACAGGGGATCGGGGTAGAGCAGTGTGATAAGCATTTCGATCCTACTTTACCTCGCTGTCTGGATACCTCAACAATGCATTTGGGTTTTTAATTAGAATTGAAATAACAAAAAACTGAGAAAGACTTTGCCAAAAAGGAGGCAACGGCAAAGCCCACGGCCACCCCTTTTGCGGCAAAGGGCAATTGCGTGTAATGACATCGGAGAGATCATATAGTATAGGATAGTATACGTATACGTATAGTTGGTGCTATATGGGGTTGTCGGGTCGTTCAGTCGTTGAGGCGGTTACGCTTGATTGTGTTATATGACGTGTGCATAATTCGACGAGTGCCGAGGCCAGTTAATACTTAGTTGCTTTTGGTATGGAATATTATTTATTTTCTCGTATGGGTGGCGCCTAATTATATAGCCAAGTTACTGAGTTCTTGTGTGGGAACTAATGCCTGCAGTTAGCCAAAGCAGGTTGTTTATGGAAAATATGGCAAATATTGTAGCTAAAGGTTGGAATATGTTCTGAGTTAAATTGCTACTTGGAAAGCCATGAATCAATGTAGGAAGATTCTAAAAGAAATCTATGTGATTAAGGAGCTTGGGTCTCAAAGTGTAGAGCCTATCTAAACCAAAAAGCTTTCAACCCACAAAAATGGCACTGCAAGACGACAACTTGATAAAATTGAAAACTAATTTGTTTATACAGCTGCACAAAACGAGCAACGCCGAGCAACGATAACAACTCAGAAACAAAGGCCCAGAGAAGGGCCCACAGGATGGGCCGAATAGGATGGATGTTAAGGCTAAGGGTAAGGGTAAGGACCTGGGCGCAAAGGACAAAAACAATTTGTTTATCATGGTATCCCTAGTGAGGTTGTCTGATGATGAGGCAACAACAGACACAGCACACACAGCAGAGGCACACACAGGAAAAAGGACAACAAACAGTGAGCAAGGAAGAGCCATTCAGGGGTGGGCACTCTACCCCTTACCCCTAACCACTTGGCAGCATATTTTGACACCCCTGTCTATGGTTTTTGGACTCCGTAAAATATGCAGCAAATATTGCAAAACACCCAAAACGCATTTTAATGGAGTTGTTTCCCCCGTCATCCCCCTTTGAGGAAATGGAAATGGGAAATTCTAGACAGTGCAAATATTTGCCAATGTCTTTCCAGCTAATGCTTAAAAATTATGCTGGTTGACAAATTCCATTGGCTGTTCTGTGTTTGCTTTTGTTTTTTTTCTGTTGGGTATTTGTTTGACTGGTTCTGTGTGTTTGGTTGAAACAAATCATTAATTAGACTTAGGCGCCAGTACTAATCTACATGGTGTGAAAGAACGAACACAAAAGCTGATGATTATTCCGACATATCATTGTGGAACTTGTGCAGCTGCCATACAACGCACCACCTCTCCCTGCCACCCTTCCCTGTGCGACAATCCCGCAGGCGAAACACTTGTCTACAACGGAATATCAACACCTCTTCCATTGTGAAGCACTTGGGCAATAATTCCGCTTAAACAGATAAACCCGAGCGACTGAATCAAAAAACAATTTAATGTGCAAAAACACCAACCACCACCACAGAACGAACGCCCTTCCTAATAAGCTTTTCCACCCCTTAAAAGGCTACCCAAAACTTTGGTTTTCCTCGGCTCCGATTGGTGGAGCATTTAACTCCGCCCATTTGACTGTACCTTTTGATGTCCACCGCCATTAAAAGAGACTGCAACTCACCCTCAGTTATGTGTGTGTAACACTCTTCTTATCAGAGAAGTCCTGGCATTCATTCGCTTTCCGGCTGTCTATGAGTTCGCAACGAGGACGCGCTTCGATGTCAGTGTCCGCCGTGCATTGAAAAACGTTTCATCAGGGGATATTCATATATATCTGGGGTCTAGGGGGTGTTCGAAATAGTCATTCGTTTCGTATGTGTGTGTTGAAATATTTAGTGCTATAGTGGATGTGCAATTTGAATAGGTTTAAAAAGTAATTGATTTTGTGAATTTGGAACTCAATCTAGTCAAAAGGATTATTGGATATACTTTGGGTGTGCCTGTGAGGTATGTATATGACATGATTATTGGTATATGAATTTATAATGTGATTGCAAATCGGCATATATGTAGAGTTTAAGTTTATCTTCAAGTTAGGAAACAATTCGGAGTGCAATATTCCGCAGATTCTTATTTTTGGTATACCAACAGAAATCCAGAAGAGTGGAAAATTATATTTATTGCCACATTATACAATGGGAAAAAGAACAATCGTTCATCCTTTTAATCATTTCCCTTATGGGTATAATACGAAGATCTGAAAAAGGAATCATACAAATTTAATAAGCTTAGCCCGAGACTGGATTTAAAAGCTGAAATAAAATGTAGAAAGTTGTTTGTGCCTGGCACTAACAGATTATAAGGGTATGTTGCTTTCAATTGATCTTTGTAGAAGGCAAGGAAGAAACTTCAACGATCATTCATAGGATATACAAATATATGTACATATATCTTGAGTATCAACATCTAAAGCGACTTTAGCTTTTATTGTCCCTCTATATATGTAGATTTTATAAACTTTAAAAGTAAAACAATTTGTGATTATAGCCAGGAATCTCGCTGCATGCGGAAACATAGATCTGTTTTATTTGTTAGCTGATACAAAATAGGAAAGGACGGGATTTGCTTTCTTTGATAAAATTTAAACTACAGCTTCTTTAGGATTCAGTTTAGCTCTCTATAATATAATGGATTTTGGTAAGAGAGATTTGATAGAGTTTTAAAGACTTAGGTAGAGGAAAAGATACACTCTTAGGGTGGATTTCAAACCACATTAGTAATTAAAATAAGTCACACTTTTGCGATTCTTTTCTAACTGAAATGTTTTTCCATGTAACTTGACACCTTATCACATATCTATTAACAACACTAAAATCCATATCTTATCTAATCGGAAAAGAGTGTTTAACATGTTTATTATCGCAATCCAACAACTGAACAAGTACAACAAAACGCTGATAAAAAAAGAGGAAATAACACCCATTTAATGCTCTTTTATTTCCAGAAAGTGAGAGAACACAATCAAAAGTCAAGAAGGACGCCACTTGTCAGCCACTTTGTACACCCACCCACTCCCCAGAAGAGCGGCACGTGCTGGTCACGCGTCGGCAATCAGGGGACAAAATCGGAAGCGGAAGTGTTAGCTTAACCGTTATGCACTTGTCGGCCAATTAGTGTGTGCAACTAACGAGTAGATTCCATAGTATACGAAGGCAACATGTTTTCCATGGACAACTTTGATTTGGAGGCCACCATGGCGCGTCACTTCTTCGAAGGATCGCAGGCCACCAATGCCTCCACCTCCAGTTCCGAGTACTTCTTTGGCGACGAGCACAGCTCGGAGAGCGATGACGAGGATGATGCCTATAGCAGTGGCTTCAACAGCGACCAGGAAAACACCGAGAAGACGTAAGCATTGGGGGTTTGGCTGTGGGGATCGTTGGGGCCATGTTTTTAATTAATTCCAGCTTCTCGTTTAGACGGCGCAGCCACAAGCCGCGTCGCTTGAAGTGCGCCTCCCAGATGGCCCAGCAGCGGCAGGCAGCCAATCTTCGGGAGCGACGCAGGATGCAGAGCATCAATGAGGCATTCGAGGGACTGAGGACCCATATACCAACGCTGCCATATGAAAAGCGATTGAGTAAGGTGAGTAAGGTAATGCATGGGATAATCATTTTGGGATGATCATTTACCCCTCCTTATATTTCATTCTCTCATACTATTATTCTATCATTCTCAACGATCAATAACCTTTCAAATTCAAACCCCCTTTCAGGTCGATACACTCAAGCTGGCCATCAGCTATATAACATTCCTCAGCGAAATGGTCAAGAAGGATAAGAATGGTAATGAGCCAGGACTGAGCTTGCAGCGTAATTATCAAAAGGAACCGCCCAAGAAAATCATCCTCAAGGATCGCAGTAAGTTGTCAATCAATCAAAAAGTGCTACAATATATTGTGGGTGGATTCAGTCCACATTTAATAACATAATTCGCACGGGTGGGGCAGCATATTTAAAGGCCATCATTGAATAGGAAAGGTGGCTGGTTTTTGGGTTCACAAAACAGATCGTGCAGGGGATGCATCTGGATGGTACGGGATTCTCAGTCTCGGGGTCTGTTCTGTCTCTGCCTAAGTGTAACTAATTAGAATTTTCACACTTCTAGCACGGGGATGGGTTCGGTTTGGTTCTCTTTTGCGGGGCTTTGCGTGACTGCCAGTCAAGCAAATTGTTTTGCTCATTGCCGTCGCATCGATCACTCGGGATGTTGGATGCGGCTGCAAAGGTTTTCCACAAGTTTCAGTAGGGGAACAATGGCTATTGGATTAGGGGTTCCCGTCTGTGTGTGTGTGCCAGCCTCACAAAAGTTAGTCACGGTTTTTTTGGCTAATAATTTTTCTATTCAAAATGTATGACGCTGCACAGGCCTGGCTACTGCCACACAGCATCTGCATAGCTAATAGCCTGGGCACTTGGAACCCATAAAAGGGTGTCGCGTATAGCAAAAGGGTTTCGCGGTTCCTCATTGAGTGTTATGCATAGCTAAAAAGTATTCCCAACATTTTTTTATAGTTTTTTTCCGACCAATGTATGTCAAAACAGAAATTTCGATTTGCTAAAGTTGCGCTATGAACTGGTTTTAGGTTGGAATATATCATGTAAAGTGATTAAGGGGGGTAAATTATATTAAAATTGAGTGCCTCTGGGAATTTGGAATTTTTTTTTGGGTACTCTGCCCTTTTTTCTTTGGGTATTCATTATTAATTAGGGTTATTTATGGGTCTATTTAATTTTAAATATATTTTCTTTATTAAAAATCACCAAGGTAAAGGAAGAAAATTATCCGAAAACTTGAGAATGGATGGAAGATGTTTAAAAAAATGTTGCTAATAATAGTTTCTGTTTTCTTTCATTATCTTATAAAAATTATTGCTAATTCCAGCAAAATTCTAGTTTATGGTTTTATATGCAATACATTTAAAAACCCTAAGGATACAGTCTCTTCAGTACATAAAACCCAATGATTGTGATGATTAGTTGCCCTCCTTCTTAGGTAGTTTCTGAACGAACTACCAAACAAAATGAACATGCAACCAGAGCGCTGCTGATGTATAATTTGTTTTTTCCCGATAATAAATCCCCCACATGGCCCACACACCTTGCCATCTCTCACCCAACAACCATTGACAGAAGGACAGACAGACAGACAGACAGACAGGCAGATAGACCGATCCGACAGTTGGGGGGAAATACACACAGAATAGTAACAATAAAGGCAGCAACAACAAAGCACAATCGACATAATCATAGCGTGAGAAATTCGTTACACTCTAGCAGATGTCTACTGTCGCCATCCATCCACAGACAAGGTTCTCGGTGCTCGGGTGCTCGGTGCGCTCGCTTAAAGGCCAAATGGATGCCGACCCGGGCACAGGACCCCAAAGCCATGGGAGCTGATGGCAAAAGCGTTTTCATGCTTAACGGGCATTAAAAATGTTGCAGCAAAAACAAAAATACATTCCGTATATACTCATAGATAAAATCGCACAAAAAAGGAAACTTTCCGGGGGGCAGGCAGCTACCCAATGAAACGCCCATTTAAACGGGTGCAAAAGAGTGTGTGGCAGTGTGGCACGCGCCTGGCATATGTTCACACCAACTTGCAACAACCCACGCTGGAAGCTGTGGGTGGGGTGGGTGGTGGGTGGTGGGGGTCAAATATTTGAGCAACACCCGCATGAAGCACTTGAAATCCTTGTGGAGTGCTACAAATTGCCCATTCCGGGTGGGATTTTTCTCTGTCTGGGATGCAAGCTGATTGGACGACTGACATCGCCAGGGATGTGGTAGGATGTTGGGTTTTGGGTTTGGGTTCTTGGGTATTTGGGCTTTGGTTTTGTTTGTTCAAGGCAAATGGCGGTGTGCGGCACAGCAGGGCGGCAGCTGCAACAACAAGAAGGAAAGAAGGAAGGAATTGAATGCGGAACGAACCCTTTTTCCCATTGCTTGTTTGCTCTGCATTGCTGATGGGCTTGTAATGTGGCCGCTAATGGCATTTGCTCAGTTTTTGGCAACAATTTTAATTGTTTGGGCGGGTTCTTGACTCTTGATTGGAGGTTTTGTATACCCATCTATTAGGGGAAACATTCTGTAGAGTCGGGAAATTGAGGAAAAACTGTGTAAAGTGAAACTTGTGGAAAATACAGAAAGATTTTTATGATTCCATATATGAGATTCCATTTCTGATGTAATTTTCTCTTTAAATTATATTTTTAATCAATATTTTTCCACATTTTACTCATTTTCCTTAACTTCTCTTCCTTTCAGCAGGCGGTGTGGCGCATTCCTTGTCCTGGTATCGCAAGGGCGATCGTTATCCGGGCAGCAAGCTCTATGCCCGCACCTGGACACCCGAAGATCCACGCGGACCCATCGCACAGATCCAGCCGGTGTACAACAATTCCAATTCGAATCAAAATCAAAATAGTAATCAAAGCAGCGACGATTTCAATGGCAGTGCCGGCTCCGCTGATATGTCTGATCCGGGAGTAGGGGCCAGCATCTATGGCAGCGGCAATGGCATGTGAGGAGAAGGCGCAGGGCACAGGCACTCAACCCTCTCATAGAGAGAGAGGAAACAATCCAACTAGTCAAGCTTTGCTAGTCATTGCATCTATAACAACATATTAATCAATTTAATAATTATATGAGAAAAACAACATGTTCTGTGGTATTTAATTGCTCTAAGTTCGCTAATATCTAAATGTTATATACTATACTTAGTGGTTTAGTTTAAATCGAATAAACATTTCAAACAAAATCTACAATACAATCAATCCATTATCAACATCAGTGTAATTGTTGTGGGTTCAAATGCCCGGGGGCAAAAGGAGCAATTTGTAGCTAAATTATAGAGTTATCAGCACAAAAACATATTGAACACCTGGCCCCTGGTTGGCCTCTCGTACCCTCAAATAATTGTGTGTGTCTCCCTCTTGTCGATATCATTAAAAAAGCAAGGGCAGGGCAGGGCAGACAAATATCATATGTAGTACAAGTGCAGTTCACATTTTGGGGGTGGGTGTTGTGTGCTATACCGGCGGGTGTACTAGAAAATTATTTCCGGTCTTCCGACATGCATGCAATGCACACACGCCAAAGACAATTTTTCCTAAAAAAAAAATAAAATGAAAAATTATTATTTTTTAAGCGTTTTCAGTGTGCCATTTAAAATATCATTATGACTGTCAATCGTTAGACGGACAGATGTGTTGTCCTCGTGACGCGTTTGGTTGAACAATTTAGATGTTTATCAGCAATTAGGATTAGCTCGTGGCTGGAGGGGTTGCTACGAGTGATGACGTGATTGAGCGGTTTGATTGTGTCTAGCGCATTTGATCTATCAATTTCATCATATGATATGTAAATTTATGCCCTCTGTTTTGTGTCTTTGTGGTCGGTCAAAGATTTAATTAACTGAGGGCGGACACGGACACAGCTGCAGTCATCGATAATCTTGCAATTCAAATCTGATAAGAGTGCCGCGCATGGGGTTGAAATGGGGGAAATCAGTGGGCTTAAAGTCGAAGCCGTTTAACAACACTGCAACGTTTTTATGGTATATCGGTTTGCAGGGTGACGTCACATTCCGTACAGACTTACGATTTAGGATTTTTCCATTTGGGTTTGAACCTTATTTTGTCAGCAATCCAATAAAAAACAGTTCTAAAAGCCAGCCAATCTTGTAGGAAATTGATTTATCTATTGGATACAATTATACGTTTAGTGCTGAGAAGGCTTACTAGCTAGTAATATTAAACCGAATATCAAAATCAAGAAATATGCTTTCCGATTATCGCAGACGACTATTAACCCATTGTCGACTAGGGGGGTTCTAAATATTCCCGCAAGAATAATAAAACTTGAACAATTTTAACGCAGTTCAGGTGAAATGTATTGTGGTAATTTATTTTTTTAAGTGAAGAGAAAAGATGGATCAACAAGAAGAATTAGCAATTAGTATTATTTTCCGCGGTTTAACTTAAGGTGTTAACCTGTTTAAATATAGCGGGGTTAAGTGGGTTAAATTCGTATATCAACGCACGTTTGTTTTGTTTTGGCTATTTCCTAATTTAACAGCATGCGATTTGCTCAAATAATTGTTGGTCCTGCGGGCAGCGGCAAGGTATGTCCTGGGAATACTCTGCTTGTGCGAAATCTCATTGTTTCCTTGCGTAGTCGACCTACTGCAGCTTTATGCAGCAGTACGCCATGGACGCCAAGCGAAATATTCAAGTTGTCAATCTGGACCCGGCAGCCGAACACTTTACATACAGTCCTCTAGCGGATATACGCGAATTGATACACCTGGACGATGCCATGGAGGATGAAGAACTGCAGTACGGTCCCAATGGGGGATTGATATTCTGTCTGGAATTCCTTATCGAAAACCAGGACTGGCTGAAGGCGCAACTGTGCGGCGGCGACGATGAGCTGATGGTGGGTGAACCGGACGATGATTACATACTCTTTGATATGCCGGGACAAATTGAGTTGTTCACTCATCTGAAAATGGGCAAACAACTGGTACAGCTGCTAGAGTCCTGGAATTTTCGCACCTGTGTGGTATTCTGCCTGGACTCGCAGTTTATGGTGGATGGCGCCAAATTCATATCGGGCACCATGGCCGCCCTCAGTGTGATGGCCAACATGGAGCAGGCGCATGTGAATGTGCTGACCAAAGTGGATCTGCTAAGCTCTGAGGCGCGAAAGCAGTTGGATCTCTACCTGGAGCCGGATGCACACAATCTAATGGGAGAAATGACAATTGGCTCGTCGTTTGGTGAGAAATATCGCAAGCTGACAGAGGCAATTGGTTCGCTCATTGAGGATTTCAGGTGAGTGGAAAAAGTATATGTATATTCATATATATTGAAAATGTTAAAGCAATAATTACAATCATAGATAATTTTACAAAAACTCCGTTAAACCTAATTAATAATTCTCAAGCCTTGGACTTGCGCGTCGGATGAAATGGATGTTCCATTTCAGACAAATCCGGTGGATTGTGCTCAAAGGCATTTATCTCCTGCATTCCACTGTTGGCAATCTCCCACAGCTGCGGGTATTCTTCCTTAAAAGTACTGTACCACTTGTTGACCAACGGATAAGGCGTCAAATCAAAATCAATGGCCTCCAGGCAAATGGTGGCCGAGATTAAAGCAAAATCAGCTATGGTTACATCGTCGCCAGCGGCATACTTGGAGCCCAATCGTTCCAAATATGTTTCGAACACCTCCAGGGCATTTTGCACCTTCTTCAGGGACATGGGCGTCCGCTCGTAGTCAAAGAAAATGGGTGCCATGCTGTGGGCTGAAATGGGGGCATAGTAGAATCCCATGTTGAAGCACAGACGCTGATTGACCAATGCCCTGTTGTTCACATCCTGCGGATATAGCGTCGAGCTTGTTGCCGCATATTTATCGCACAGATATTGCATAATGGCAATACTCTCCGATAGATAGAAACCATCATCGTCCAGTACGGGTATTTCCTTTTGCGGATTCATCTGAAACGAAAGCATACATTTTGGTTTATTCTGTGGCACCCTTTTTGTTGTGTGTACTCTACCTTTGCATAGTCTTCGGTGCGATGCTCCAGGGCACAAAAGTCCACGTTAATTAGTTGATATTCTATATCCAAAGCTTTTAAAGTCATTCGTACGGCCAGCGAGGGCGGTCCATCGGATACGGCATACAGTTTCATCGTGTATACGGGTCTGTTTTTTTGAAGAAATTAAGTATTAGTTTTTATTTTTTGTTGAACCGGTTTCCCTTTTTATGCACAAAAAAAGTGAAAGTAATTTCCTCTAGTGCGGCGTTTTTTCCTAATGAATTATCTATTTTTGTTGGCCTCTTTCGCTGGTAGCTATTTTTGGTTCTCTACTTTTTGATGTGTTGGCAGTTTGTGGCTAGCATATTCATAATTTACCACAATCGAAAGTCACACAAAAATTATACAAAGTGCGCTCGCGCAGCTCTCAAATACTACTAATGGCGAGGCGGTTATTGCTTGAAAGATTGAATTATAATATGTTGCAGGTGTTCAGGCTAGAGGTGGTGCACTTTCTGTATACTGTGAGGGCTTAAAGCATAGCTACGACACGCTGCCATCGCCAGTTCAATGACAATTCAAACAAGTTTCAATCAAAGCTAAACAAATATTATTTATGCGAAGATAAAATACTCTTTCTCCGATGTTCCCTGCTACATTTCACATAGTCTACAGGACTCTTATTCCTATCAGTTACAATTTCAAGGGTAATACCTGGACTGACAGATAAATACTTACTCATTGGCAGCATAGCTTTCCATTTCATCGGCAACTTCTTCCACAACCTCAATGATGGCATCCGTATTGTCATGCTCCATTTCTATGTACTGATCATCTATTACGGAGACTTGTTCATGCTGTTCCTGCTCCTCCTCTTCGTCTTCGATCACAACATCGGCCTCCTCACCTTCCTCCAGCGGCTCGGATTTGGTTATAGATGTCACAGAGTCTCTGCCACTGCCATTCTTACTAGGACTTGGTAATGGTAATCTGGGCTTTGTATGGACCATAATGTCATTACTGATGTTGGACACACTCAGACGCTCGATGGCCAGATCGCCATACTCTTGCTTTATCTCGTCCAGCGACTTGCCGATGAAGTGGAGTGGCCGAAATTTGAGTTTCTTGTTATTTTGCTTGTTGATCTCGTTGAACAGGCGCCGTTTGATGTCATCCTCGCTGAATGGATGCGTGTGAACGTTGTAGACGCGCAGGACACGTATGGAGCCATCCTTTTGGGTGGCTGTGGATATGCGACTCTTGCAGTTGATCTCCGGATCGCGACTCTTGATGCAGACCCAATAATTACGCGATATAACGCCACGATTCTTGGCATGATATATATAACCATCGACGCACAACAGTTCGCTGCCTTTGGCCGAGCGTAAAGTGCAGATTTTCGTTAGATCCATATCCGGATGGAGTTGCTCTTTTGCAGGCTCCAGAATATCTCGACGGCGACGTATATTCGTGATTTCTGGCTGTGGTGGTCCCTTGGGCAACGGTGTGGATGTGTTTGTCCTGTGTCCGGTGTGTGTTTCGGTTTGGCCATCATCCATTTCATCATTGGTCGTTTCTTCAACCTTGGTGCTTATATTATCTGCACCAAATTCGACATATTCCGCGACCATGGACTTGGTGGTGTCGGGTTCCATTTTGATGGCGCCATCGATGCCGATTACCTTTTTCATCACAACACTTGCCTGCGGCTCTTGATTGTCCTGGTCCTGCTGCAAGTGGTTCTCCAGTTGCTCGTAGCTGCCATCGGCACTATGTTGCCCAGTATCTTCCTCGCTATCGTATTCTATCAACTCCGATATGGTCAACTGACGCTCGGGCGGATTATCACGTTCTATTTTGGCCTGTTGGTTGATTCGTTTCTGGATTTCCTTGAAATCTGGACCGTGGGTGTGCTCACCATTGATGCGCAGCACCATCGGACCAACTGGCGTCAAGGTGATGCGCACGTGACAGGCGTACTGCTTGTCGCGTCGCATGATGCACGTGAAGAACATGTGGCCGTTGGACCGACTCTGCGAGTCAAAGTGAAACAGGAATCGATTCAAGCAAAGCACCTTGCGGCCCTTGGCCGATGGCAGAAACGTGAACTTGGTCAAATCGGTTTCTGTCAGTGCATTGTAGCCGGGCGTCTCAATATAGTTTGCTATGACATCATGTGCCACAGGCCAGATGGTCCTCTTGTATCGTAGGCGAGGCTCCGGTTGTTCCTCTTCGTTCTGGGACTCTGCCAGGTCGCCAGAAATCTCTGCACTCTGGTCATCGTCCATGTACACATTATAGTTCTCCTCACAATCCTCTATAATTAGCGATTCAATATCGTCACACTGCGATATGTCAATTGATTGATCCGGGTCAAAGTATTCTATATTGGGGCACTCCTGAAGGACGTCATTTGTTTGTTCGTCTTCGACCAACAAGATTTTATGCTTGGCAAACATTTGCATCAGCTTTTCGGCCGAATAATGTGGATGTATGTGAGCGTCCGTCTCGATCATATGCAGACGATGTCCCCCATCCAGTGTGGCCTCCGTGCATATCTTGGCCGTACACTCAATGTCCCGCTTACGGACGCATGTCCAACGATAAATCTCGCCCTTGTATGACTTTCCGCCCAAATAATACAGATGTCCATCGATGCAGACCATAACACGGCCATCGCGACGTCGCAGCATGTACACACGGTCCTTGTCCTGCAAAATATTTGAATTTTATATTAAAATACTTATCTATGCCACTGCATAAAGTGGTATAAATGTACCTCAAAGTCGACTTGAAAAGTCGTTTCCAGAGATGTGATGTCAATGCTGCTGGCTCCATTGCAAATAAATTCGGGTGGATTCAATGTTCCCGATGCCCGTTCATACTGTCGCGCTCTTTTCGGCTGTGTGGAACTGTACGCATCGTTCTTCTTCATAATGGCGATACGCTTGCGTTGTGCCACCTTGCTAACCTCATGATCGCTGCAACGGGGATGGATGTGATTGACGGGAACATCCACGACAACGTGCCGCGTCTTGTCCAGGCCATTGGCCAGAACGGTGCATATGCGAGATTTACAGGGAGTCGTTTTATCTTTTCGTCGATTGCAGAGCCACCGGTAGGTGTTGTTCTTGCCAATGCGATCGAAATGGTACAGGTAGTCGTCCACACAGAGCATGTCAACGCCTTTGGCGGAGCGCACCACGGAGACCTTGGTCAGGTCCATTCCATGGTCGCCGCTTCCTTCGTCCATATTTTTGAATATTGAATGGCAGTAGCGTTATTCGTTTGACCGGATTTTCCGCGTTTTTTTGCCCGAAAAAAAGTGTTGTACCGTAATTTAGGCGATTTTTGTCCCGGACGAACACGGGATTTTTTGGTGGTATTTTATCAATACAATTATGGCGCGCAGTTTTTTAAATTGTTGCACAATCATCTAAATTGTTGTTCCGCACTTTAGTCCGTACTAATTAGTGGTATTACTTTTCATTGATTTTCAGTTTAATCGCACATTTTACTTTGGTGACGCGAAAAAATGCTTTTGTTCGTGGTGCCAGGGATGCACTAACAGCGGTGCTGCCACCCGTCATCCTTTCAAATTAATTTATTTTTATTGTTTTTAATTGTATTTACAGTTTGGTTCGCTTCTATCCCCTGGACACGCAGGATGAGGAGAGTATTGGCGATCTTTTGATGCAAATTGATAATATATTGCAATTTGGAGAAGATGCCGATGTCCAAGTGCGAGACTTTGATGAGCCTGATGCGACCGAAAGGGACCCAGAAATGTAAAGGATCCGGTCTATAAGAATACACATGTTTAAACTATTTGCTGTAAATAAAAATAAGAACAACCTTTAGTAATTATAGTTTTAATTATTTTCTGTTGCATCCCATCCCTGGCTGGTGCTGCCACCTACTCGCCGACGTTTTGCAGCACTGTTTTCCACATTTTTAAATTCCAATACGCGTACAGCGTCTAAACCAAAACAAAACAATCAAATTTAATGTGAAACCATTATGCAGAACGATGGCGAAAACTCCATTGCCCTTGCGACCAGCCAAGAGGATATAACGAAGCGCCTGGCGGCGCTGAATCGTTGGCAGGATGAGCAGAAAAGACTGCTGGAGGAGCGTCAAAACAATCAGCGCGTAATGCTCGGCATGGAACAACGCAATATGTACCAATTGTTGGGACTCATACACAAGGAGGCGGAAAGCGCTGAGAGTAGTATTTTAGAAGAATCCGATGTAGAAGATGACCAGGAGCATCGTACAGATGCATCCATACAAATGCCCAGGCACACGGAGTATCAGGAGGAAGAAGGCGGCGGCGACAGTCAGCCGTCTGCGAAGCCCAAGCGTCCTTTTCTGCGTCGTGGCGAGGGATTGAAGCAACGCTTCAAGATCAATCCTGATCAGCTGCGCTTGGAGAATTTGCCACGCTATAAATACGCGAATGCGCATCCACAGTTTCGCACGCCCACGCAGACGAAGGGCATTCTAAAGACGCGCAAGGAGACGAAAAAAGTAAACACTGCACAGCCAGCTATAAAGGCTTCTGGTCCTGCTCCGCCACAGCTAGACCTCAATGAGCAGCGTTTCCAGAACCTTCTGATTAGCTCTAAAACTGCCTGCAATTCCACACCAGACCTCAAGTCTTCCTATGCATCCTCAAGCACAACCAGCGTGTCGCCGAGAGTTCGTTTCGCGGAGCAGAGGAGCAGAGAGCATGCTGCCGACGATGAGCAATCCTCTGAGGCAAGTCCCCTGACGGGCGTGTGCTGGGCCAAAGTTTTGAATGCACAAAGCATCAAGCCAGTGCCCCTCATCCAACGGCGCACGGCCCAGATCCGGCTGGAAGATGACAGCAATGTGAGCATATTCGAGTTGTTGGAGCAAAAGGCACAGGAGGGGAATTTCGACATGAACTCCAGTTGCATACGGACGTTCATGGCCCGCAAGGAGCAGCGCCGTCAGATGGCAGACGACACCGATCAGATTGTGGTCACCCAGCAGGTGAGGCAAATGCATTTGCAGCCAGAGGTGGCCCAGATCACAGAGATAGACGACGACGATGACGACGTCGAGGCGGAGGAGGATCAGACGAGCGACCTGACAATGACGCCCATTCAGGTGGGGAAGAATCAAGTGCGAGTACGCTTCTCCGACTCGAATGACACGCATGACACAACCCTTGGCGATGGCTCCAACGTGCAACTCTTCGAGCAGTTCAAGTCCGCGCTCTTCCAGGCCTTGGAACAGAAGAAAAAGTCATCGAGTCCCACAAAAAATGCAGACGAACCTGAACCCTTCAGCAAAGAACTTCAAGAGAAGGTAAATATTGTGCGCACCCGACTCGAGGAATTGGAAACGGAGATTGCCACGTTCAAAAAACAAAATATGGAACTGCTACGCCTCAAGCAAAAGCATGAACTGGAAAAGGCCAAATGCGCTCAAGACCACCTGGAGGCCATGGATCGTGTGCACGATGAGAAAATCCAAGCGGAGATCTACTTGCACGATGAGCGCATGAAGATCGAAGAGGAACGCCGCAAGTTTGATCAGCAGATGCGTCTGCAAAAGAGCAATGCCAACAGCAAAGAGAAGAAGGAAATCGCAGCCCTCAAGCAGGAGGTGGAGTCACTGCAGCTGCAGCTCAAGCAGAAGGAGCAGACGCATATCTCGGCCCAGGCACGCCTGAGAGCCCAGCTGCGGGCTGGCGAGAAGGAGCAACGTCTCTATCGCGATGAGATTGAGCTGCTGGGCAAGGAGAACAAGCGTCTGGAGCAGGAGCTGATCAAGGTTTCGCGCGAGAACAACTCCAAAATGCTGCAGGAGATCAATCGCAATATTGCTAGACTGGCGCCAAAGGTGGTAGGTATTTAAATTAAAGTTAAAAGTTCACAGATATCAATCAATTGATTTTCTTAAAGCTGCTTCCCACGGATTCATCTCAGCCAATCGATGAGAATGGGCGGCGCACCAAGTCCTTGGATGGACCAGCCAAGCAGCGGGAGTCCATGAGCCGCCGCCAGAGCAGTGGCAGTGCCCCGACACGTGGCCAGAGCAGTGGTTATGGACAGTTAAATCGCAACCGCACAGCTAAGAAGAAGCCAGAGGTACTGGACGAAAGTTATCCCAGCAGCAGCGCCAGTGATGCAGAAGATGAGCCGCAAACAGAAATGCCAGCTGTAGCAGCAGCAAAATCCACAGTCGAACCCGCAGCGGCTACCGACTTTAAGCGTGAGATTGTGAATGCAGATGGCAGCAAGGACATTTGGTATCCCAATGGCAATCTCAAGAAGATCAGCGCCGATGCCATGACCGTGCGAATGTTGTACTTCAACAAGGACATCAAGGAGTCGGACATCAGGGAGGGCACCATCAAGTATTACTATGCGGAGACCAACACCTGGCACACAACCTATGTGGATGGCCTGGAAATACTGGAGTTTCCCAATGGCCAGACCGAGCACCGGCACAAGGATGGCACCATTGAGATACGCTTCCCCAATAATACCATCAAAATGGTGGATCCCAGCGATGCAGAGGTGCAGGAGGAGTGGCGCTATGCGGATGGCACGCGTCTCGTGCAGCTACGAAATGGTGATAAGATTCTAAATCTGCCCAATGGCCAGAAGGAGATACACACAAAGCTGAACAAGCGACGTGAATATCCCGATGGCACCGTAAAGCTGGTCTATCCGGATGGCAGCCAGGAGACGCGCTATTCCAATGGACGCGTGCGTCTCAAGGACAAGGATGGCAAACTTATAATGGACACCGACTATGCAAAGTATTAGAACACAGATTTCTGTTTATTTATAAATGTTTTAAGTGTAAATTCGATATAACTTTTATTCGTCGAGTTCTTTGGCTATCTCCAGCAGTTCGGAGAAGTCTGTTGGGTGCTGCTTGAGTATCTTAGAAGCGAAACCAACAACTTGCTCGTACGTAAACTCCTGTTTGGCGCGCAGCCCCCAAAGTATGTAGGTCTTGGCCTCTTCGAATGCACTATCTGGCTGTGAGCGCTCGCGCTTCACATAATGCTGCTTGACGAACGTGTCCTCGATGAGTTTCCGCAAATTGCTGCCAAAGTAGGCGTGCTCCTCGTCCACACGGATGCCCAGTAGCGCCAACATGGCATAAAGCTTTGTATCCTCGACTCGCATCTGGCGCAGGAATATATACATCAGTACGATGTACAGCAGCGTGAGCTGGGGACGCTGCTCGGGCGTCATTTCGTGAATGGAGGCCATGGGAGCCTCGGCCATGCAAATGTACATCTTGGTGGCGTCCTGCAATTGATGCAGTCGAATGCCATAGCGCTTCGCCAGCAGTTTGGCCACGAGCGGCAGGCGGCATTGAAGCTCGCTCCTTGTGCCAACCAGCGGCACCAAATCCTTCTCCTTCATGGGTATCTTTGCCGCTGAATGGTCCAGAATGTATTTCATAATAAGACGCACTTTGTCATCAATTTGCGTGACTTGTGCCGGCTGCGAAGACTGCGACTGAGACAACTGGGTGTTATTGGCCCCACGAGAGGTGCTAGCCCGGCTAGCACGAGAGGTGCTGGCCATCTTTTATATGCAAATAAACAATAAACAAAATTATAATTGCGCGGGATGCAGCGTGACCGTTTCGATAACGATAAAAAATACCATCCGGCATAAACGGCAATCCTGCGATCAAACGAGACTTAACCCACTTAACACCCCTCTATTTGAAAAGTTGAGCACCCTTTGTTAAACCGCGGAAAATAATACTGTTTGTAACGGCTCCTTGTAGCTCCATCCTCCTCTTTACTTATTGGATTCTTTACATAATAGGGTTCAAACAAAAACCAAATAAAACTAATATGACGTCGTTGTTGGTGGCGCTGCCAGACTCGTGCGATTCGTAGTTGTGACCCGTTTCATTACCGATTCGCTTTGAAATGAACAGGCAGCCGTAATAAAAAAAATCCGCAAAAAGGAAGAGGAATAAACTTTTTTTCGCAAAAAGGAATTTTCCTCAGCGGAAAATTGATTTGTTTTGTCGACTGGAACCTCAGAAATATACCGAAATATACCACATTTTCAAAATAACCCCGAACCACTAACCATACAGTATATAGATGTGCCAGTTCATACAACGAAAGGGGCGCAGCTGAGGTTTCTGTCCCAGCACCCCCAGGTCTTCGGCTAGGGTGCTGGGACCATTCGGCTGTGGTGCTGAGACGTTCGGGTCGTGGGTCTGAGACGTTCGGCATTTTTTCGACATGTTCGATCCATGACGAGATGCGAAAGCAAGCTGAGAATTGCAAATGTATGTGTGTAAACAGACACGACAAAATTTTGTATCAATTCTTACCCTGCAGTACGGGTAAGCGATGTGTAAGCAACCACACATCGATGGCAACGTCATGCAGCTCGATGACATAAGCGATGACCTGCCATACGATGGGCTGTTTACTTTAACACAGGGATGTCCTAGGAGCATAATCGATGACATAGTAAGCGAGAATTCGCCGAAAGTCAGGCCTTAATAAGCGATGAATTTCCCTTAAAAAGTAAGGCCTTAATAAGCGATGAATTTCCCTTAAAAAGTAAGGCCTTAATAAGCGATGAATTTCCCTTGAAAAGTAAGGCCTTAATAAGCGATGAATTTCCCTTAAAAAGTAAGGCCCTAATAAGTGATGTATTTAAGTAAAAAATTTTGATATTTTGAAGAAAAAGGCATGGGTAAATTCTGTTTTAAAATATTAAATTTCTTTTATTTATTGTTTTCTTATAAAATTGTATGCATATTCACATTTTTGTGCAGTGTGTTCTTTTTTCCACAGAACCTTTTTAGTTTTTTTGATTTGCTCATGTTCGTAAGGCCGTCGTGGTCATTCCGGGCACTTCAACTGAATCGCCTTTAAAATAAGATGGGTTAATTAAAACATATTTCAATATGTTAACAATGCTCTCAGTAGATCAGCAGTGCATTTGCGCCAAAAACAAAACACCCGCTTAGATATGTACCTGTTCGACTCAAGACTCGTTTTTTTCTGTTTTCGTTGTTGGAAATGAAAAATTTCGTATAAAAAGGGGTTTAATTTCACAATATCACATTTTCTTCATTTTTTACAACGCACAATAGACTATTTTTAATTAAATGAAACACTGCACTTACCTGAAATAATTTTGCCCAAAATAAACAAAACCTGCGTCTCACTTTACACCGCACAATTCTAACAACGTTGTCGACGCCGACGGCAAAACCGAATTCTGTTACGGCACGAGTCGTAACAGAAAGAAACAAAGAAAAAAAAGAGTTTGGTCTGACCGACGCGTCGATCGCGACGTCGACGTCATATTCTACTCGTCTGTTGCAGCGGCAGAGAAAAAATCCTGAATGACGCGTAGTTGACATTTGTCATCGCTCACTTCTGGTACTGCAGGGTATTTTCCGAAACCGTTTTGAGTTTGTTTTGAGTTTCGTTTCCAGGTTACGTAAATGTGTGTGTGCCATGTATTCGCACATACTGTGCTTGTGTGTGGGCTCTACAATTGTTGGCCGCTTGAATTCGTTTTTCATTTTGTTTTGAGGGCTGATGTGATGTAGCGACCTATTCAGGGCCGGATCAACCCTCAACCGGGCCCTGGGCAACCATCAATCTGGGGCCCTCCTTTATTTTGTATTTTTCTCAGTGGCTATTATATTTTTTATTCATTATTTGGAGTTTTGTTTTTTCAACAAAATTTGTCTGTTATCCCCAGGGGGCCCTAGGCAACTGCTAATCCGGCCCTGGACCTATTCCCGTCGTAAGACTTCATATTTTCTTGGTGTGTTCTGTAGCTCGACTCGACGCGGGTCGGGTCGAGGCATTGACGAAGCCGTTCATAAAATATTTTTTCGTTTTGTTTTGAAAAGCTGATGTTGCGTCGAGCGCGTAGGTTATTTCTTCCATTCTCTTTTAGGCTAGCCTTTGCCTCTGCTTTCGGCTTCGTCAATGACTCGACCCGACCCGCGTCGAGAAAATAAGAATTGATACAAAATTTTGTCGTGTCTGTTTACACCAGGGCTCGGCACGGCCCTATCCCATGGGTGCGGGACAAGGCGCTGCTGCTGCGCTGCCGGTACACCGACAGTATAAAAAAGCAGCGGCGCTTCGTATGGCTTCGGCAATGCGACTTCGGCACTTGTTGTCTCGTTTTCACACCAGATACAGAACGAAAATGGCATCAGTTGCTGATCAGCCGTCATCAATGTGAGACCACGCTACGCAACTACTGAAATATACACTGAGACAAAAAATGTTCGATGGGAATTGGGAAAACAAATTTTTCTTTGTCCAAAATATGGATTATGTATTATTTTGCTTTAAACTTTTGTTTTCCTTGAAAGTTTCAACACGAAATAATTGCAGCATCAACCACAAATAGATTCGTGCAGTGTAAAGCAAGAAACCGGTTTCGGCGTAGGCATCTTCGTGTTTTAGCTACGCACACAAGCGCACTTCACTGTATGGGTGCCGAGCCCTGGTTTACACACATACATTTGCAATTCTCAGCTTGCTTTCGCATCTCGTCATGAATCGAACATGTCGAAAAAATGCCGAACGTCTCAGACCCACGACCCGAACGTCTCAGCACCACAGCCGAATGGTCCCAGCACCCTAGCCGAAGACCTGGGGGTGCTGGGACAGAAACCTCAGCTGCGCCCCTTTCGTTGTATGAACTGGCACATCTATATACTGTATGGTTAGTGCCCGAACACAGTGTGAACGGACTCGATTGCTGAAATACTGCCCTGAAAAAAACGTTGCCGTACCCGATTAATTAACTGATGCTCTGAAAACAGCGCTGCCAGAAGACAAGGACTTTCGCCACCAAATTCAAATTCAAATGCAAACCGAAAATAACCATACACGAAAAAATTCAATAAAAATATAAATAGCAGCTGCTCTATCGAAAAATTTCGGTACTTTTGTGCGATAATCCCAAGTCGTGACAAAAAGCGTTATCTGGCGGGAAGCATCGATAGCCACATTTGGCGTGCACAACCAATTTGAATTACTGGGACACTTACTATTCTATTGTTGAAAACTTTTTGTTTCCTTTCTCCATCCGACTACCCTTGACAGCTACTCTTATTGCTGTTCAAGTGCAAATGCTCACTCAAAAGGCTCGTTAGAACGTACAAAAGTGGGTTAAGCATGCCTGAAGTGCCACATCCTTTAGTGGGTTACTATTGATTGATTTCTTTATGCTGGACAGACAGCCTTTCCCCTGTCGCTCAATGCATTTCACTTTCAGTATGCCCAACAGCCTTTCCTTTGATAGAAAGACATTTATCGCTGAAAGAGATTTTTCTTTCCAATTTTTCCACCCGTTGAGATGAGCATAAAACTTGCACTTTGCATAAGGATAGCGGCGTCTCTGGAGGTGATGTGTTTTTAATTAAAATGGTAAAATTGCCGCGACGCGACGTGGACTGCAGGAAGCAAACAACTTTCAAAACTAAACTCGAATGACATGCACGGTCAACATTTGCCGTCGAGTCAACAAACAAACAAAACTACGAAATGGATGGAGTATTGCAGTCTGTGCAGACACGCGCCCAGGAGTGCACTTCCAGACGCAAAATGCAAAAGCAAATGTAGACAGAGGCCAAACCAAACTGCAGCGCACCGCACATTTTATTGCCTTGAATTGTGTTTGTGTTTTAGGTGGCTGAGGTGAAAACTAGTTACCTGCGGACTGACTGCGTAAGCCGGCATAAAGTGAAGTGCTCTATCCATAAATAATAAATCTACAGGCGGAAGACAGACAAAAGTTGACTGGCCAGGCGGCAAGCTTTAATTGATTTGCCATTGTTCCGCCTTAAACAAAAGCCAAAAAGCCAGCCAGCAATCTGCAAAAGAATTCACAAATTTATGCGTCTCAAGTCTTTTGTTAAGTTCGAAACTGAAATGGATATCCGTTTGGGTGTGCAATTTAATGCTCCACCAGGGTTTGTAATAACTTTAGAATTTGCATAAAAAGTGCCAAAAAACTCTGCGGTGGCATCTTCGCCTCTGGCTTGGCCAAGGCAAATGTCTCAAAGAAATTGCGAGTGAGTCAACAAATAGTAGTCGCTGTCAACGCTTTGACTTTGACTTTCTACCAACAGATAAACATTTTTGCTTTCAACTTGCGCATTGTAACGTAAACTTTCAGACCCTGTCTCATTTTTTTTGTTGTAGCCTGGCTAATTGTGCTCTGTAGTCTCAGAGTCGGATGCAGAGTTGAAGAAATGTTTTTGTTGCTTTTGCTGAAAAGAAAGTCAAGGTCTTTGGGTAAGTGGCTGTAGCAGCTTTTGAGACATTTTGTGGCCATTAAAAATTAGCAAATGGCTGGAGCAAGTCATTTAGAATTTTCATGATAAACAAAAACCCATGACACCAGCCAATAGAGCCAACGACAGCGACCAGTTTTGTGCTGCTGCTGCTGCTGTGCTCACACAATGGTGGTAAAAAACTATTAATAAATTAATAACAGAATATCAAGCAAAAGGCCACACAAAAAAGAAAGCCATCAAAGGAATGTAGGCGAGTGTTGGATACCCTATGAAGTGTGGCTGGGGAATATGGGTTTCCATTCTATTCCCCATATATATGGCATATTTCCCGCTCTTTCTCTCATATGTTAC